TGTCATCCCGCTCTCACCCTTTCACTGTCGAAACTTCTAAATGTAGCCGTCTCTTCTACTCCAATAGCTTTATATCTCGCACCTCTCGCCTGTGGAACTCCCTTCCCTATTCCAGTTTCCCTGAGAGCTATAATCTCCAGCTATTCAAATGTAATGTCAATCGACATCTCCAGTCGCCTTGTTCTATCCACTACCATTCTCCTCATCCTTCATATCACTCTTATCTGATCTTGCTCCAAATTTTCTGTAACCCCTTGCGTCCTAGTGACTTCCCGCCTTGCTTGAGGTGAAACGCTTAAAAAAAAAAAAAAAAAAAAAAAAAAAAAAATACCTATGACCACCCGACCAACCAACCCAAGTAATTTATTAGGCTGTAAATAGTTTCACAATCAAATTCATATTAACAAATCTATGTTCGCATTTTAAAAAAAAAGGACGGATATTGATATATATTATGTGAGTTTCAGTTTATACCATCTGATCTTAATTAAAAAGAAAATAAATATCTATAACTATCAGTTACAAACGGAGTTCGATTAGCAAGTGGAGACTGCTCTACCAACACCAACTGAATCAAAATTCTTCAGCCGAGGGTGAATGGTCTCTCGTTACTAACTCCCACCATACTTAGGTTCATCAATAAATTTGTTAATGCATTTAATTCCCCGTGATTATCGTGTGTAGTGATGGGGTCACTGTGCAATTAAACACTAGAGCAGTTCTCTCTATATGTTTCGCTAACGTCCCAGTACCTCAGTCTCTGTAAATGATGTTCCAGTTCATACAGTGACGTTGTCAGCTCATCTTTTCATTTGCTTAAGGTTTCACATTGTAATGTAGTATTGGAGAGATAATTGGCACTTACGACGTACCCATAATATTTCAACTTCTTTTTCGTGAGGGTAGTTACAAAGTATTCAATAGTTCTTTCGAGAGGTGCAACTTAATTTAGTAATGTATATCAATCACTTGACGGAGACATCATACAATGAAAGCGTTACATAAATCCCAAAATGGATAGCGGCTTGGATTGAGGAATTGGACAGCACAGATTGAATTCCAGTCGAATCCCTTACATTCCCTCATGTGCTAATAGCCTTGGGAAATATATGAATCCTCTTCCTCCTCCCCCCAGCTATGGGTAAATAGCAAGAGAGTAAATAGCCTTGGATTGCAACTGGTCTACCGCAGAAAGAAATGGCAACCTACTGCGGGAAAAAACCTATCTCGTCAGTCATGTATCGAAAGATACATGATCGCCCTAAATGTATCATTATAATATACATAACTGACTGAAATTCACTTACGTGCTAATATCCTTGGGAAAGGTATGAATCATCTTCTTTTCCTCAGCTATGTGTAAATAAAAAGTACATAAATAGCCTTGGATATAGCGGGTCAAATAAGAAAGAAATGGAATAACTACTGCGGCTGAAAAAATCTACCTCGTCAGTCATGTATCGAAAGATACAAAAAATCGCTTAAAATATTAAATATCAATAAAATAATATATAACTGACTGATACTATACTGGATTTTCGTCGGGTCAAATCTGTATTTTCGAGGAATAAAAAACAAAAACAAACTCTGAACCAGACATAACTTACTTATCGATCACCTTTTATAGATTCATTTCACCTTCGTCGATGCACAATCAATTCGAAGATTATAAAACCCTAAACCAAAATGAAACAAGCGAAGGAGAAAAATTTAAAAAAGTATCTTCCGTATCTTTGTTTTGGTTGTAAAGACGTGACCTTATTACAAATCGCCGAGAAAACGTTATCGATTGACTGCTTAATTCCAGCAACATTTGTCTTTAAAGATATCACTTTTTTGTTCGTTTTCTCTTTTAATGATCAGTTGGTGAATTCTTGGTAGCAAATTACTCCCCTGATAAAAATTTATTGGAAAAAAAAAATCCTGTTTATACATTTATCAAGGTGTCTATATTTCTGAAATGAAGTATTATACTTATTTACAATTGTTCGGACTGTTATCTTCATCTTTATTGTCATATTGTAAACTCCGGTCGAATGGGTAAAAGCGTTGGTTGCTGTAAGCCAGTAACTTGACCCAAAGAGTTGTGAGTTCAATACCTGGACACAGCAAAGTGAACAAAGAGTTTGGAAAGTTGAGTTACTGAAAACAGATATTCAGAAGAGGCGCGGCAAATAGAACTAGAGCAATCAACCCAATCTCTTTGATTTACTCAGGTTAGAATGAAGAAGTTTATGTTTGGTGGGTAAATGTTTCGTTGTTAATATTTTCTTTATATTTTATTAAGTTTTCTTTTAGTCACCTGGTAATATTTTCTATATATTGTATCAACGCTTTGGTATATATATATATATATATATATATATATATATATATATATATATATTAGAGAGAATTTACACCAAAGTTTTTGATTAAAACCATTAAGACACAAATGGGGTTACTAGGAAAAAAAAATTGGATAACAGAAAATTATTATGGAGCGAGAACAATCAGCATAACAGCTATATATATATATATATATATATATATATATATATTTTTTATTTTAATAAATATTCATTGACGATAATTCCATCGAATATTGCTGCTCTTTTTATCTGGTGCACACCTTTGGGTCAAAATTTCTGCTGGCCTTAAAATACGTCGTTTTGTATTAGTTTTTACGTCCTTTATTTGAATGTAGTTGAAGAACTGAATAGATTATCTGGGGTCACATACCATGAGTAGCTTTTAACTCCCCAGCGGACGAGCCTTCCTGAATTTGAAGGTTGAGGTTTTCTGAGCTGTCCAAAACTGGTAGGTTTTCCGTCAATGTGGCATGTACTACCAGTACAAAAGAATTCTCCTTTTACTATATTTGTACAAAAACGCACAACCTTAAAATTTAAAATTCAAACTCAGCGTTGCGACCGCACGTTCCAAAACAATAACACATTTCTCATAGCATTTTTTCGGATTACATCTCTATTTTCGTTGTCCTCTTATTACCGAGAAGTAAAAACAAGAACAAAATCTATTTCCATACCTGAGGATGTCTGTAGGAACAGACGAAAGCTTGTAAAAACTAAAAGACATAATGAAACTGGAATTTATAAACAGGGATCATATCATTCATATACAGGTTCGGGGTTAGTGTACCTTATTGAAATTGTTTGCGAAGATGTATTCTCGCCATTTAAATCATTAACCTCTATATTTGTTTTTTTTGTATGAATGGTTCATGTAATATATATATATATATATATATATATATATATATATATATATATATATAAAAAACGTGTGTGTGTGTGTGTTTGCATAGTATTCATTTGTCTAGTTCTTTTTCTTTGTTAGAAGCCTTGTCGATTTCGTTTGTTAGGTATTTGTGACAATTACTCTTAACCAGGACTAATTACTATACAATTGTAGAAATTTATTGTCACGTTTAACGAAATTTTATTTCTCCTTTGTCACCCATCTCTACATAATAGACTTCTCTAGTGTTGTAAAATACACTGTTCCTGTAAACGTGTACAACATGGGGTACTCACGCGCGTAAGTATAGGACAATTACAAATATATCCAAGTTTCCGCAGTGAGGGTCAAGTTAATCGTAAGGAGATCCTAACGCTTCTTTAGTGCAATGAGGGAGGTGATAACACAGGTTCGGAATCCCTTGTGACCAGATTTGTATTGTTTTCTGAAATTTCAAGTGTGAGAGTTATATCTGTATTGTTCTTCCAGTGAGTTTTTTTTGTAGCGACCTGAGAGTCTATCTGACTGAACTGTTTGGGTAAATAAATAAAGCAATAAGAAGAGGTAAGCAAATACATAAGTATTAAAATAATTCCTTTTAACAATTTAAATGTAGGCGACTTTGTAGACCTGCCATTTCAGACAAATTTGGATGCCACAACTGAAGAAATCTGTGACGAACACCATCCTTCTTCGGGCATTGTGGACTGGTGCTACACAATCAAAAACAAAGAACTGTACTAGATAACGGAGATTACGACACTTCGGGACTTTCAACAGCTAAAATAGATATCATATGTAAAACGAAGATAAAAAAAAAATATACCACCACCAAAATGTTGATATTCCGCACGAATTCAAACAAAAAGGTTAGGAAGGAAAACCCCATTACTACTGGAAAGAGCAATAACAATTACTGGATTTGAGAAACCTATTTTCCTGAAAAAATATTTTTGAGAGAAAGATTTTATAAATTTCAACCGCCACAGTTACTGGCTGCTCGGTTAACAGACGCCGAATCTTTCCTTATAAGGAAACAGCTAATATTAACATTGCCTAGTTTAGCGATTTTTTGTCATCTTTTATATTAATAATTGTATTCTTTTGCAACTTCCCGACGATATTTTTAGTTCGGAATCTTCTAAAAATTCCTATGTACTGAAGAGAATAGCGATATTACACGCTAGAAATAAGATGCCTTAAGTGAAATGAGAATAATTCAAGAATCTCAAAGATCTTTTATCGAGACGAATCCAATATTGATTTTTTAAAATACTCAAGAGAGCTTATGGAGAGGTGCACAAGTACTTGTGTCATAGAGCTTAATGGTTAGATCGAGTAACGTCGCATTTAGAGGTCTGCTGATTTAATTTATTCATTTTTTATTTTTTTTACTCTCGCTCCAAGCAAGGCGATAATGCCCCTAAGACGCAAGGGGCTATTTGGAGTAAAATGTAATTAAAAGGCTTTAAAACCGATAAAACTCTACTACTGTTAAAAAAAACTGGGAGCGATTGAGAGTTATTTTCCGCAGCTTATCAATTTATCAATTTATTTAAAGCCAGAAAACGTTTTTAGACTGCAAACATTTTGAGAAGTCTTACTAATTAACCCATAGCAGGTGGGAGAAGGTGGATTCCTAACTTTCCCAAAGGGTATATGCGCGTAAGTGAATATAACGGACCCAACGGGAATTGGAACTCGACTCATCGATTAACAATTCCATGCCACTATTAATTACACCACCCGCACATCCAGGCGTACAGCACCTGGTCTTAAACGCTCACTCATCTAGGTACTGACCAGGCCCGACGTTGCTTAACTTGGGTGATCGTACGGAAAACGGTGTTTCAACGTGAGTTGGTCGTAAGCGATAGACAAACCAATCTACTCCAAATGAGGAGAGAAAGTGGGGATTAAGAAATAAAATTTCAGAGTTCGGACGGAGACGTTAGACGTTTAGGATTAAAGTAGAATTTACAAGGAATTGGAACCTAATTCTAAATATGAAACAAGGGATAAACCCCGACACCTGCTCAAAAGACCAAGGAGGTGTGTGAACCGAACGATAGGTTGGTTGATTTTGTTTAGCTGCATATCAACTTTTATGGGATATTTAAGGCCAAAATTTAAATATTTTTAATACGATTGGCTCCAATTAAATATATTTGACTAGCCTTATATTCTTCATTTGGGCGAGAGAAATCAGGCTAGTAATGGCTAAGAAAAAACTCTGGATACACACGATGTAAATATACGCACAAAGTGTAGAATCTCTCTGGAAATGTTTCAAACCCAATTTGGTACTAGCTAATAATTGCTCACATCTATGATGAAGGAATGCATGTGGATGTTGGGAAATATTATCAGAAACCAAAGTTTTTTTTTTTTTTTTTTACTAGTCTCTAATTTCATTCAATATATGAAATATATCCATGAATTATAAAGTTTTCGTCAAGGAGATTAAACTATACTTTAAATTTTGCATACGTTAAATAAATAATTTAAATAAATTATATTGCATTTTCAACACTACATTTCGTTTTATTAGTTGTTCTTTCGAGTGGATGATTTTTCGAATCCAAACGTGAGTTCGGAATGTGAAGCCAGTGAAAAATACAAGAAATGTAATGAAACAAATTCTGTGTTTCTTAATTCGTTTGGTAAAAATAAAATTAATACCTGAACAATTCTTAAATAAAATTTATATAATACATATATAAAATATATATATATATATATATATATATATATATATATATATATATATATTTTGTGTGTGTGTGTATATTTAGGCATTTTTTTCATTCATACATGTTTCATTAAATAATATAGACAAATGTTGTCTATTTTATGTAAATTCTTTTCATAACGTCTGATAAGCTTAATAACATTATCGTTAAACGAAGAAAGAAAATCACAATATTGATACATATTTTTTAATCCAGTCTAAGCTTTCGGCTTACATGAAGATGACAATTACTGTACAATATATTAAGCAATATACGGACAAGACAGTGATGATAGCCTGTTTCTGTTTACATGAATGATTTCCAAGCAACGATAAACACGTGCATATAAGACGCTGGAAGCGAAAATCGCACCGCAGCTAATGACGTCACACGTGGCCACGCAAAAGTGAATTCAAGAAGTATTAAGTATGGGAAGCCGTTGGTATAAACCAATGGCTTCTGTTACCAATTATATTCCTTAATATATTAAACAATATAAATTAATTAAATTAAAATTATGTCATTAGATATTTATTCAGTTAAATAAGTTTCTCCCTTTTTTTACGTTTTGCTGCAGCATAGCAGCGCCAATAACCGGAAGTCATATGTGGCAAAAACTGCGAAACTTCCGTGGTTAGTTTAAGTAAACGTGATTGTGACAATAAAATTAGTCATATTCGACAACAATCTTTTATGTGCCTAATATCTTCCCGACATGGCCGTTCATGACTCTCCACAACTTCTCCCAATGTTTGACTCTTTACCATTTCTCTTTGTCCCCGCTCTGCAATCCATTCACACAACCTCATTAGACAAAACATTCGCTTTTTACCTTTGCCCCTACCATCTTCAGTATGTCCTTTGAGTGTTAAATTTTCCAAACTGTCTCTCCTCATTATGTATGCTAGAAATTTCAACCGCCGTTTTTTTCTTCTTTATATATATATATATATATATATATATATATATAAAATTTTAAGTGTCCCTTTCTTCAAAACTCCCTCAAGTTCCGTCAATGGTATTCTCAGAATTCATCTGTAGAATCACGTTTGGGTCGCTTTTGATCCATAGGCCCAACATCCACTGCCACACTTTTTTTTTTTTAAAGTTTATAATGAAATTTTCAGTATACATAATCTGCAAAATTTTCTTTTTTGCTTTTACGATTCCATTGCTTTCTTAGGACTCTTAAAAATAAAATCCGATAATATACATGGAAGGTTGACTTCAATGAGGAGAATTACTTGACCCCTCCTCAGGTTGTAACACAAGGTCAGTTTATAACGTGGGGACCCGGGTGCTTTCACTCGGGCCGCTGGTCGTAGCTGATCCAAGCTGGTTAGAGCCGGTTCAAGATAGTCATAGCCGTGATACTACCCGGGCAGGAATGGAACCCTCTGCCCGAGAGAGTGGTTCCTCAATGAGAAAAAAAAATAAAAAAAAATACATCGAGTTTTGCAATAACATCTTACAGAGAAAATAAAAAAAATTCGATCTTTAAGTTAAAACTAAACACCCCTAGTGCCATCTAACGTTAAAAAATGAGCTTATGTCCAACGCAGGATTTATTAACCAAGTTTAAGTTTATGACAAACGCCCAATCAGATAGGAATTCACTAATCAATATTTTGAATGTGTCACACTAGCTTGTTGACCATTACTCTACCACGAGACGTCGATAATGTTTGTCTAATAATGATTTTCAAATAGCCAAGATAGACTGTGTATGTACGTCATTGCATGCATTGATGAATAACTGACGGCGAATACAACTTCTAACATGTTATTTTAACGGACACTTTTCCAGATGCAATTTACACGCAGAGAGAGAGAGAGAGAGAAAAACCCAACTGGAAATGAACACAAGATAAAAGGTGGTTTTAGTTGCTTCAGCTACAATCTGTAGAAAGTAGCATTCTCTGTACGATAACACAGTTAATAGCAGACACAGAAAGGAAACTACAAGAACTCCTACAGAAGACGGGGAAAGAAAGCGCGAAGAAAAGACTAATTGCAAGAAGATAGAATGTACGGTTACCAGCAAAAGGAACAGTCTAACATTGCAAATTACAAAAGGGAGAAATCAGAACCAAACAAATACAATGATCTAGATATCATGGAAGCCTATTAACAGAGGACCGAAAGTGCGACACGAAAATCCGAAGAAGCAATAGGATAGAGAAAGATGCCTTCTAAAATCTAAGCAAAGTATTAAACAAAAAAAAAAATTCGTTAGAAACAAAAAAATACTGAGCTGTTACATAATATCAGCCTTCCTTTATGACAGTGAATGCCAGATAATCCTTTTACAGATGAAGAGACTTGAAGCAACAGAAATGTAGTTCTACAGAAAGATGATGAGAATGCCATGGACCGAAAATATGTGTAACAACGAAGTTTTAGAGAAAATGGAAACTAAAAGGACACTTATGCTTAACATCAAGAAAAAAAATAGTTGAAATTCCTAAGACACATAATAAGAAAAGAAGGTTTGGAAAATTTGATACTCACAGGACAGATTGAAAGCAATAGGGTCAGCAGAAAACACACAACCTACTTAGTGAGCTAGAATAAATGGATGGCGGAACAAAGTTTAGGAGAGACTTCAAAAAGACATTGTTTATTAAGAGCTACAAAGGACCGGAAATTGTAGAGAGTCATGATTACGAGAGTGCTGAGCAACACGACATACACAAGTTATCAGTAGGATTTTCAACGTGCCCAGATATAACACCCTGCTTTCATTTTTCGCCCTCCACACATACCGTATATACTCGGGAAAAGTACGAGGTCTTATGATCAGTTTTTTTTTGTTTTTTTTTTTTGTTTTTTTTTACAACAAAAATAGGGGGTCGCATAATAACGTAATTTTTGTGTAGAGGTTAAAAGATCTTTTCTGTTACTCACTTCCCCGGCGTAGACGTGTCTTTTTTCAGACATTGACGAACAAACCCGTCCAAAATATAACGTTCAAAAACACACTACGGACGTGTTTATATGCCGATCTTAATTCTCTTTTATGCCCTTCTGAGTTTGAATCGTGTCCAATTGTCAATCCATACGCCTGGTAGAGGGTGTTAGTCACCACTCGGGTACTTCATGGTGTCGAAGTTTCTTAGTTACTATATTAAAAACAAATAAGAAATTTGTCTGAAAATGAAACGTTTTTCCCAAAATGGTTGGCGGGTGAAGGGATTAATTCACCCTAAGAGATTATAAATTTTAAATCAAAGTTTGTTTAACTTGTCTCGCAGTAACTCCAACCTTCAGAATTAAAAATTGCAAAAAATCAGACGGATGATATTTGAGGTACTTTCAAGGATTTTTTTTTTTTACAATTTAAATAAATAAATGTTTTATCTCAGTGGGCGCGAATGCTGACCCCTCTCTTTAGAAATAGCATTCCTGAGTTGCTTACATTTACAATGATCGCAAAGATCAGCGCAAACGGAGTGCAATGGAAGGGCTTTGCTCTGGGAGAATTTGGTGTCAATTTTAACAAATATAAATTCGTTTTATCTTGCGATGAAGTAATATTTTGGGGGGTGAATTAACAGAAAAGATCCGAGGTTAAAAATCATGCATTTTCGGTGACCAGGTTGCACTATACACATAATTTTCTTATGCAACAAAATTAAAGAGCCGGACTATACATAATGTAGTCTTATAGATATATACGGTACTTCCTCCTCCCCCTAGTCTCCTCATAAAGGCCTCAACAAATAAAGATTTCTTATTCTTCATAATGTATGCGCACGGACCACACGAAAACCTATGAACTAAACATTCGTTTCTTATACACAGAAAACCCGTAAAAACACTATCGTCTTTCCAACATTCTAATATTGATTGCTGACGATACAAGAGAGCTAGTAAGCTATATAATAAGGTCGTTTCCTTTGTTGTGCCAACATCCCCGTTTCACTTGTCTGTGTGTGCGAGTGGTTAGGAAAAGGCCTTTTATGGCGACTGCCAGGGCAGGGGAATGTGCAGAAAGCGTAACTTATCGGCGCGGAGAAATCGACGAACCGAGTTCAAATTTCAACACAGTCTGTTGTGTACACATTTGCACTTGTGAACGGCACGAATCCACAAATTCGCCCTGATTTCAACTGTGGTTAAAACAAAAAAGAGTA